CGGCAATCCGCAGTCACATGTATGTCTTGGATTGAGGCGCACGCCCCGGCGCCACGGGCACGGATAACAGACTCAGGCTGCGAAGCGTGACGTGGCGGGTGACGGAGGGTGACGTGCTGAGCTCCCCGTGACGGAGCGAAGCTGAACGCCCTCTCAGGATTGTAAGTCCGAGAGCCCCGGTATATTACGCCAGGATTCAACCGAAATCAAGGTCACGGCCGCGCCGGAATCCGCCAGAGCAGTCAGCCTTTCCCCTACGATCTCCACCGGGATTCGAGGTAGCTCGTTCTGCCCTTGCACTATGTTCTTCACGAATACCGCGGTGTTCAGGTCAGCCCTGTCCGTGTGCTAGCTTGCTATCCGGCCGGACGCCTCACCGAATGGCACGGTTTGTTTAAAAACGGCCTGCTCCACGGTCCGGCGCCGGCCGACTGTGGTGCGGTCATCCGCGACACCGCTCCCGCTGGCCGAGCTCGTGGGTTATAGGGGCCGGGCGACTGTGGTACTGTTATCCACGGCACCACTCCCGCTGGCCGAGCTCGCGGGTTATAGGGGCCGGCCGACTGTGGTGCGGTCATCCGCGACACCGCTCCCGCTGGCCGAGCTCGCGGGTTATGGGGGCTGGCTGACTATGGTGCGGTCATCCGCGGCACCGCCCCCGCTGGCCGAGCTCGAGGGTTATGGGGGCCGGCCGACTGTGGTGCGGTCATCCGCGGCACCGTTCCCGCTGGCCGAGCTCGCGGGTTATGGGGGCCGGCCGACTGTGGTGCGGTCATCCGCGGCACCGCTCCCGCTGGCCGAGCTCGCGGGTTATAGGGGCCGGCCGACTGTGGTGCGGTCATCCGCGGCACCGCTCCCGCTGGCCGAGCTCGCGGGTTATGGGGGCCGGCCGCTCCCTCCCACGCTCTCGGCGTCAGGCAGCGGCCAGACCTACCGCCTGCGCAGGCGATCCTCGCGCCCGGCCCCCCCCCCCCCCCCCCGCTTCGAGGCACGGGAAAGCGCTGACTATCCGCCTCGGGATAATCGCCCGACTGCCGCGACAGCCCGGGTCACGCACGTTGGAAGTGCGGACCCCCAGTTAAAACAACCCTTTCCTTCACGGGGAACGGATGTCCGTGACATCGCGTGCGCCGGCGACTGGAGCACGGAGTACTGAGGCAACCAAGGCTGGTAGGCCACCATATTCATTGCCGTGTGGTAGATTGGTGGGCGTGTTGGATTAGTGGCCATTCCACCAACACCCTCTGCCTGACGCATGCCTATGCTGGCTCGGTAGTTTCGGCATGTGAGCGGAAATGGCCTCTTTTGGCTCCCGTATTTCCTCGCCCACGTTGGAAGTGACCCCCGTCCACAGACTGGCTCCCTGCGACAGCCACTTTAGACGCTCGCCTTGCAGACGAGCTCTCTGCATGCATGAAAGCCATTTTCATGTTCATTTTCAATTCAAGCCAGTTCCAACACTGCCACATCCAAATGATGTATTCCCTTCAGACGTACTCCGCTCGTCTAAATTGGGTTTTAACCCACGCCAGAAAATGCTGATAAATGAGGGTGGATTCCATTCGACGCGTTTCTGGGTTTTGAGGCTGTATTAGTTCAGGCCAGGTTTTGTGTGCGAGGGTAGGCACGCGATGCTCAAAGGTGCTGACCTCCCTGCTGGCAACCCGTCAGCTGCATCAAGTCTGCCAGCGGGTCCAATGGCTTCTTAAACTTGTCCCTCACTTCCTTTTAAATTCCGACCAGAACCTCGGCCCCTAGACGGGGAGCACTTACATCGGTTGGTGCGACGCCAGAAAAGCTCAGTACAATCCGTTGGCCTAGTCCCGCAGGTGCAATGGACATTACTCGCGTCACACCCTCCCAGTTCAAATGTCCAAGCATGGCAACACTTTTGACCGCCTCTGAGAAATCCGCAACGAATACAGCGCCTTCCTTAGCCAGTTCAAACGGAGGTATCTCCCGTGGCGCCCCCAAATTATTGGACGGCGCGCCGGCGAGCATGCCGCAATGTGATCGTATCGTACAATGGCTGCTCCATGAACGAGTTGGTTCGATCAGGGTCAATCATGATTTAAACTGGTTTTAAAGAAACTCCTTCCCAGCCACACTAACGATTTCAGAATTGTTTTGATCATCCTTTTTACGGGCGACTCCGAAATTGCCTGTCTTCCTCCTGGGGATCTTCTGCGCTGGAACCAGCCAGTAAACACTTTCTTTTCTCACTTCCTCGGGTACTCACCCACGATGGGGCAAACTGCTTGACGAGCAGCTCGCACCTCCGGCAGCGCGAATTTTAAACTCTTCTTGACACGTTTGCACACCAGCCCGCGACAACCACCGCTGTCACTCAGCACGCGCACCACCTCAGATCACACGCGAGCTCACTTCCCGTCGTTCACTCTCCGGCAGGGAGGCAAGACGCGATAGGGATCTCTGTTCCGCCTCCTTTCTACGCTGCTCTGCCGCTTGATCTGTGGATCAAACTGTTATCCAGTTCTGGATAGGATTAATGTGGCCGCAAAACTCCCCCTCTCCCACTACAGTAGCTGCTCCGCGCGTGTAGGCCAAACGCAAAGGAACAGTAGATTTTGCCAGGACTCATACAGAATTAAGATGAAAACCAGAAGGTACTCGGAGGACAAAGACGCAGCCGGATCATGGAACCTTCGGGCAGTCAGAGGCCCTCGCGGACGTATCCAAGTTCATGTACTGGGGTGCCCCAACGGGCACACAGGGGCCGGAGGTTAACTTAGATTTCGGGCTTCAATCGTCCGCCGAATCTTGGAAGAGCCGGACCCCGGGGTCAAGTGGCTCGTGCGATAGGCACTGGACCTCCAGAGGGTTCGGGTTCCCAGCCGATGCACCATTTTTATGTAAAGAGTCTCGGCGTGGTCGGGCTGCGGTCGCGCCAGCCATCACCGCGAGGCACCAAAGTACACACCAGCGGGCTCAGTCAACGCATCGCGGTTCAGTGCAACGTACACTTGTTCCGCTTGCCACGGTATGGCTGTGCGGGCCCGGGACGAGTTCGTTTAGCGATCACCGCAGAGCGACTCAGGCACTGCGCATCTGGATCTCAAACTTAACCCGTTACTCTCCAGTTTTAAACAGTCACTCGCTTTTAAAAAAGCCTCCATAATGAATCAGGGACACTTTGGCGGACGCTAAGCTCTCTTGCTTGCGAATGTTTTGATGCTTTCAGTTTCAAATCGGCCGATAATTTTTAGGTGGTACGGAGTTCCTCGTCCTTTGAACCCGCGTTTCACCTAGAAGGGTGGCCTTGAGAGGTCAGGATTTTTTGACGAACGGTGGTTCTTGCGCTTGTGAATATTTGAATGCTTACAGTTGTCAAGTGAACCGGGAATTTTTGGATGATATCGAGTTCCCCATCCTTTCGACCTAGAGTTTTATCTTAAAGGTCCCATAATATTGAAAAACAAAGGTTATTTTCGGTGTTCTCGTGCATAATTGACCTTGAGACCCTTTTTCAGAGAAATCGGAACTCGTTGCTGAATAAATCGCCAACTTCACGAGCATGCCAGCTGACTAACCAGGCCGATCCGATGTTTGGAGGTCCTGGACGGAAGTGGGAAAGTCTGATATTCAAACATCGGCACGTCTGGGGCTCTTCAGGTGGGATGTTGGGGGAAACATTTTTGAGGTTTGGGTATTTTGATTGCATGACAAGATGCTGTTGATCCCAGTCATTGAAGAGTGGGGCATGCCAGACATCTACACTTTTCGAGACAAATGGGGTTCAAAGCTGGAGGGAAACCAGTTTGATGGCGAATTGCAAGAGTAGGAGTATAGTTTTTCAGTGCATTCCTCTGTTCAGTTATCTCTCGTCCCCAGCTCACCTTGTGAAACTAGGCCCCTGGGCCTGTGGCAGAATAATTGGTCCAGAGACCATAAATACTGATACTTATGTATTACCTGATGCTAACAAACATGCCTTTCCCCTTTACAAAAATATTAGTTATTATTTTGCAGTGGGTATGCAGGCAATTTTGATCCATTGTAATTTATCCAGTCAACATGTGGGGTTCATAGATGCATGACAGGTCTATAAATGGACATTTTATTGTAAACTGAACAGAGCTGATGCATGCTAAAATATGTGACCTTTTTGGATGAAATCAATTGTCCCATCACTTGTGTTCCTCCTATTGCCTGCTTAAGTGTTGTCTGAAAGTTAGTTCTGTCTATTGGTTTAGTGTCATAAAAACTACATTTCAAAGATAAAGCCTATTCAAATAAAAAAGTATTGTTTTGTGAACTGTTAAGCATATTGGTAATGTTTCACATTGGAAAGTACTGAAGCAAGCATCAGGTATGATGAAATTAACTTATTTATAACCATTGATAATTGGTATGCTCTCAAGCAGAAAAGATTGCTTTAGACGATGCAACTTCTGTAGAAAATATGCACCTAAATGCATCATAGTTTCACTGTGTCATGAAACATGTATGCATGATTTAAGAGACATTGCCAAACTGGTGGTGCAAAGATCCCTAGCACGCACTTGTAGTGCTTCAAACTCCCAGTGAGGTGTTTTTGGCATTTTTAAAGTTATTTGATTTAAATTGTCATTTCAGTAATAACTAATATCTATGTCTGACTTCTTGTATCATATAGCACCAAACATTATTTGTGTTTGAAGCTGGCATAGGTTGCACAATATTGAGAGCCCATTGACATGTAACCTTGAATACTACATGGGCAATGAGGTGGTAGAATTAGAATGCCTCATCATTGTGTCATGCATGCCAGCATGACCTTGAAAAAGCTGCACAAAGTAATTGCAGATACTGTTTGCAGTGTGTGTCTCAGAAACTAGAGGGTATTACATCTTAAAAGGGGCAGGGCTATGAGCCTCTACAAGTGATCTTCAAGATGGCTATTTCAGTTTGAAACCCTACACAATGTGGAATGCTTTATTTAATGTGAATGGGGAAGGGATGGTCAGTGTCTAATCTGGTCTGCCCTATTCTAGTCACAAATGGATGGCACATGCCCACCTTTGAAAGCCGAGGATGAGGAAGGTCCCTGTCCATCTGAAGATGAATGTGCTCAACCATTCTTCCCAGGTGGTGAGGATTTTTCTGCTGTATGCTTGTGTATAAGCATGCTCGTTCATGCATGTGTGTGCATGTGTGTAGGCATGTGGATGATAATTATTGGGCTTTGAGGATGTGATGGTTATTTGAGCCTGTGGTAAGTATGTATATGTACATACTGCTACACAAAGTCTGTATCCCCCATGTTATGGGCATGCTCAACATTAACCCCATGGAGCAGTGTCTGCTTCTCAAGGTGTGCTAGCAATCTCAGTTCCCAGTTAGCATTTTCTTACTTCTTTGTTTATGAATATCACAATGTTCTCCAATTTTACATGGCCCTTTCTGCTGTTAATTTGCCGCCCCATTTGAGTCAAGTAATTGTGAGAACTTTTTGTGAACCAATTGTCAGAACTGTTGGCTTTGGTTTCCAGGCTTGCTTTGGGTGGCCAACAATTGATTTGAAGAAGATGACAATGCAGACAACTAATTTGATTCTAATTCACACTTTACAGATGGTACTCTGGACATCAAGCCGGACCCATTGACCTTGTCACCTTCAGGTAGGAGTGTTCGGGTGTGGAATGCATACAGTGTTAGCTTAATCTTTTTAATGAGCATTTCTCGCTGGTTTTATCTTGAGTACTTGAGTTTTAGGATGCACTAACAAATGAGATCATAAGGGCGCAGAATGACCTCAGTTGTTGGCATGCCCCAAAACTCCAACCATCATCATCATCAGAATCATCACCTGTAATACACTTGGTTAGTGTGCATGAACAACTCATATACTTCCTTTGTTTAGTTCAGACATACTTTAAAACGCTCCTATGTCCATCATGCTGTGGCACGGCTTTGTGCTTGCACAATACAACAGAGCAGTGTGCTGCGCCCCACGTGAATTCGGTAAAAGCGTTTTTGTTTCGGCATTCATGCAGCAGTGCTAGTATGTCACTTCCTAAACTGATACCAGCAGCTGGGCTGGAGTGGTGGGCCGATGTTGGGCTGCTGTTCGCTGCAGTTCATTCTTAAACTCCGCGGAACTAATTGATGAGGTGTCATGAGTGAGCACTTTCTGTTACATTAGGCTTGCTACTTTGACGACGAGACCAAGGTCTCCGAAGTTGCTGCAAATCGTTATCATGGGGAACCACGATGGCATGGTTATCGCGCGGAAACAGACGTTCATGGACCCTTCACACATTACCGAATGTTGTGAATGTACTTACGGTTGAAGGCATTTCACCTGTCACAAAGTTTTTCGAATATGGTCTTAATAACGCAGGAAAAACTCGTTGTGGAGTATTGTTTCAGCCTACATAGGTTAAGAAGCATGCAATGCCCGCGACTGTGATGCTGGACGTAATGCTCTCACTGGCGTCCGTAGCGAGCCTGATGGTAGATGGTTGGCTTATCATACAGCGACCCAATCATGGAACGAGCTACGGGGTGCCATGTTTAACGTCGTGGCATGCATCGAGGTCGAAGCTATCGTTGCAAGCAATCGCGCTACTTAATATATGTTATGAAACCCGTGAAACGACATCGAGGAGGCGTGCGATAGTACAAATAGCAGGCTACGGCGTGGCGATTCAGAACGAATGAGTTCAGCTGCAGGGAAGCACCGCCAGCGAGAGCCGTCTGGGCCTTCGTGCGCTTCCTGGTGCAACACGGCGAGAGGCTACCGCTGCCGCTGGCCGAGCGCGTGAGCGATGCGAGCGGCCCCCGCCCTTCGATTTGGTCCCTGTAATCGCATTGATTCTCAATTTATTTGTCCCCTCATTCTGATTTGTCCCATCAAAATTGAGGTGTGGCTACACACATGCGTATAGTACCATAAGCTTGCTCCCTGTGCTCCCATTGATTCTCAATTAATTTTTATCTGAATTCTACTTCGCCCCTCTATTCTCGAGGACGTGTCCACGCGCATGCCTGTAGACCTCAAAAAACCGGCCCTCCAGCATGTAAAACACACGCACGTACGCGGACCGACTGCGCTGCTATTGCAGGAGCAGCTCTGAGCGACTCTGATGGCTGCTCGGAGGCTCCAGCTGCAGACCACCCGGACCCGCCTGACGCCAGGGATGAGTGGCCGGCGCCCGTCGCCTCGCATGGTGAGTAGGCTTGTGTGTCGGGACCTGTTGGTGGTTTCACACCAGCCCCAACCGCTGCCCTTGCAGCAGGCCCGCTCGTGGGGTCTAGCGTCAACCGGGCAGTGATTTTGTGGTGATATGCGCCACAGCACCCCGAAAATGAGTTTGATGAGATTCTGTGATTGAACGCTTGACTTCTTTGGCACGGACACTGGTGGAATCCATGCATTATAGATGTGCTGGACCAGACAGCAACAATTTGGCCCGCGACGTAGGGCAAACGCCATTAGGACAAGCATGTGCAAAAGTAGCGGCGATTCCTTCATTATGCACGGAGGACTCAAATAATGCATCTCACGTTCACTTCCTTCACTTTTTCACGAGCATCTTGCTCGTGAAAAAGTAAGGCTCTAAATGACGCAGGGAGTCTGAACATCGTTTACTTGCTTGATTCCACGTGCACCAGACATGAGTTGGCTCCGTCAGCAAACGTCGCGTGTCTCGTCTTCAGGCCTGGCTTGGTCCAGTTGGTGTCGGCGACATCTGTGTCACGTGACTCCCTGAAGGGCTCCCGACGCTCGACCACGCATGTTGAATGCATGCTCGTACCTCCAGTGTGGAGATCATGTGAACATGCTGGAAATGTCAAGTTTATTAAAACCAAGTGATAATCGGCCATATTTAACTCGCAATATCTGTATCGGGTTATAAGCCATCTCACTGGGTTGGTTGTTGATACCACCATCGCATGAAGCTGGAATGTACGTACATAACTGGTTGCTGTTTTCCCGCGCCTGACCAGAGGTATTTGTATTGGTATTTGTTGCCTTCACCCAGGAGTTTGGTCACCAGCTGTGCATACTACAGCAGCTTGGTTGCCACCTGTCCACACTACAGCGGCTTGGTCACTAACTGTCCATACTACAGCAGTTTGGTCACCAGCTATGAAAACTACAGCAGTTCGGTAACCAGCTGTCCATACTGTTGTTTTCCAGACGACGCTCCCGATGTCCAGCCCGATCCGTTGGCGTTGTCTGCCTTAGACGAGGATCTGCTCGCAGATACCAGTCCCCCGTCATTCAGCAAATCTGGTGAGAAGACCGTTGGGCTTATATCGGCGATCGTGATGTCCCATATAATCAAATTCTGAAAGTTTGTGCCGACTGAAAACAATCAAATGTGTCAAAAATAGAAGTTGTTGTCGAACAATTTCTAAGAAAACTGAGTACTAGCTGATAGAGCATGTCGCACCCTGCAATTTTCAGCCGTGACTCGTAACGGCGTCGGCCGTGACGACGTGGCGTCCGTTCGTTACGTATCATTGCGCCTGTTTCTCACAAGGTATCGCCAAAGCGCAGCTGGACAACGAAGCTGAATGTAACGTATCACGCTTTGCCTCCGTCCCAGCCCATAACCGGGCGGCGCTGCTGACCACCAGCTGTCGTAGTGGCTGGATGGCGGACGGGTCTCGATGGCACATGGACATTGCTGTAAAGTAAAATGGTATGATAGAAAGCAGACTTTGATTTGTAATCGCTCATGGACAATAGGGTGGTTTTGTTGTGATAGTGGAGGTACTTTCGTAGGTTGTGTGCCGAGAATGGGTTTAAGGGCCCTTAAACTTTAATATGAACTTGTGGTTGATGCCTTTGCTATTTATGAGCAGACTGGAAGTGTGCTTTCCGGGGCTTTGGTACCCTTTGCCATTTCGTACTCGTTGAGGATTAGTTTTGATCGTTGCGGATATGCTTCTGCCTAGCGTCTTTTATTTGATATTCTGTCTTCTGTGGTAGTTGTTGGCAGCGCCACCACTTACCATCAAGCTCACTACGCGGCATTAACTTACGGTTTCTAGTGTCGCGCAAGCCTGGCGCCGTAAATATCATTCATATTAGGATATAAAATTGGTGATGTTTTTTCACGCCGATTATTTGACTCTCGTGGCGAATTATGATTAGGAGCACCACCGAACGCATTTATCAGAATAGTAATTGTTATAATAGGTCGCAATAATATAATATAATAGTAGGTTACAATAGGTCCGGGCAACGATCCATGCTTCCGCCGTTACTTACCTGCTGCGTGCTGGTTATTTGGGCGATCTTCTTTTTTTTTGAAGAGTGAGGAAGCGACGCATGTGGCCGCGCGCCCTGTTATAAAGCACCAGAGACTGCGCGGGCCATGTTAGCGCTCTGAGGCCTCGGCGCGACCGGGTTTCGAACCTGGGCTCCCCACACGGCTGCCGAAGGCGCTAACCACTCGCTCGCCATGTTTCCGTTTTGAACGAGTCGATGTGTTATTACCTTATGGTCACCAATTTTTTCACCAAAGCTGACGTGGTGACGTATGATAATGCGAGTTGGACTTTGCTTTGCTATGTTTGTCTTGATGCTAATTGTTGTTTAGCGCCACACCCAGGATTCAGATGTGCTGTTTTGTGCGGTGAAGCACCTCACGTGAAGAGTGCTTTTAAACTTGCTGTGACGGATGGCGTGATTGCTGCGGACGTTTGCGGCAGCCACTGAGGAGTGGCGGCAGGCATTCCTACTAAACGTAACTCATTGAAACATTGTTTGTAAAGGCACGGCGTCTGTTCATTACACTTCGCCGCACCTCTTTGGCATTTCGAATTTCCACAATGTGACATGAAAGCTGTACACACACCCGCCATTTTTTGGCAACGTTTCGAAAAGCCGCTATCTGGCATGAAAGCTGAACACACACCGCGCCAGTTTTTGGTAGCGCATCGAAAGCCCGCAACCTGATGTGAAAGCCGGACGCACCGCACCAGTTTGCGCCAGGTTTTGGCAGCGCATGGAAAACCGCAATCTGACGTGAAAGCCGAACACAGATCATGTTGAGTCAGTCTGTATGTCCCCTCGGGCTGTGTCGCTCAGCTGACAAGTTTCCACGTGTGCTGGATGGTACCTGTGTCGGCACTGTAAGGTAGTGCAGCAGGACATTCGCACCCTCCTATCAACCTGGTATGGGGTTTTCATTTTACCAATAAATATTATGCCGTCGTGGACAACAACTGATTTTTATAGAAGATGATTGGTGGGGGACTGAAGCCCTCCTCCTCATATCATACCAAGGGCTGAGGAAGGGGAGGGCGGGGGGCGGGGGGGGGGGCTATCACCAGGGCTGGTCCACTGCAGGTTACGCCTCGGGTTACGACCTTGTTACAGCCCCCAGTCACGCCGGGGCGCCCGAGCCCCGCTCAGCTGTGTCGGTCGGTTATGTTGGGAACCAGCCGCACCAACGGCTGCCTTCGCCCGCCACGAACGCAGTGCGAGGCCGCGAGGGACTTCGGATATGACTCTCGGCCCTGTCAGACGTCTCTCTTTTGTTGCTCGCGGACATTGGTGATTATGTGAAATGGTGCCAAAGGATGCGAACCGGTCTCGCTGCACTGCGGATGTCTTGACATGCATTATTTCTCCATACCCAGGCTGCAAGCCAAGTCACTGGTGGCATTTCGCGTGGCGGAACGCCTCCAGTGAATAAGAGTAAGACTTGGAGGGAATGTCCAACGTTTGAAGATATTTAAGCAAGCATTAGATGTGATGAGATGAGCTCACTTTAACTGTTGGTATGCTTTGGAGGAAAAAGGATACTCTATAGAACGCAATTTCTCTGTTTAGTTGATATGTCCCTCACACGTCATTGTTTGATTACGGCATCGTATCGTGTACAACATTGATTGAGAGCCAATTCACACCCGTCGCTCTGGAAAATGTGCTCACGAACGCCGCACATCAGTGACTCGACAATAATATTTTTCGTGACCTTGATCGCCGCACGGCCAACGGAATGCAGGATTTGAATGACGTAATTATGGTGTCATGGATGTCTGGCTTACCATGAAATAGTCTCTCCGAAATAGTCTGCCCATCTTCGCGGGCGTCTAGACAGGGAAATATGCGGTTTTAGGTGACGAGAAGGCAGGGCTGCGAACTGCACCGAATGATCTTTGAGATGGTTATTCCAGTTCAAAATACCATACAAAGGTGGAACACTCCCTTTAAGACTTCGTAATGAGAGGATATTAAGTGATACGACAGGGGGTAATTTTTTGCGAACATTCTTGGTAGATGTTGGGAAGCGCTAATAAACGTTCTTTTGCTGCATTTGTCCGCCCCGACATAATCTTAAGGTTTGATCCGAGCCGTTTGGATGGATGGATTTCTGGGTTCGAAGCTCACACTAAGCGTGCTTGTTGTGTGCGCCCTCACCCTTACCGTCGATCGCGGTTCCAGGTTAACGGCAAAATTTGGGGGGCGAAGCTCCAACATGCCGCAAGCTCGGTACAGTCCGTCCTGCCATTGCGCTCATCACAGTGGGAGGCGCCTAGCGTTTTCAGTTTCAGCCACTAAACATGAACTCGGATGATGTCCCGCGCCATGTTTTGTGAAAGCATATGCGGAGTGCTGGCGGATGTGCTTCATTGTCTTTCATTGTCCGTTTGTTTCCACTTCAGCCAAGCTCCGGTTTTCGGTGGAGGAGGGGTTTCGCCGCGGGACCTGTGTGTATCAGGCAGAGGACGGCCACTCGTACCTCGTGAGGTACAGGCCGAGGAACTCTGGCCGCCTCTATCTCAAGTAAGTACCGGCTTGTTTTGCAATTTTTTCCGCGGTAGCTTCGTAAAGAGATCACGTATGGTTGTTGTTTATGCGCATGATGTCACATATGGTTGTTTTTTATGCGCATGATGTCACGTATGGTTGTTTTTTATGCACATGATGTCACGTATGGTTGTTTTTTATGCGCATGATGTCGTATGGTTGTTTTTTATGCGCATGATGTCACGTATGGTTGTTTTTTATGCGCATGATGTCACGTATGGTTGTTTTTTATGCGCATGATGTCACGTATGGTTGTTTTTTACGCGCATGATGTCACGTATGGTTGTTTTTTACGCGCATGATGTCGTTCGCTTGGTGGTAACTGCAGGCGGGCTTGTAGCAGCTTAGTTTGCCACGTGAAGCTTTCAGAACTTAACCCAGAGCGCTACTCTCATGTCGGACGATTTTGATGCAGCGAACGCGAATGCGCTTCTAACGCGCAAATGTATGGTTAACGATAGCTTTCGTTTGCTCAAATGGCGGCGGGTTATGGAATCTCGGAGCATTTCTTTCCATGTTAGCTCTTTAAAAACAAGTGACGAGTGATTACGGGCGGAGTAAGCCGTTGAATAAACCATCCGAGATTTGGCCGCCTTTTGCCGGATCCGGTTTCCCATTATGGACTACAGCTTTGCTCGGACGTTTTCGCGTCTTTCGCAGCCAAATGACTGATTCTCCAGCTTTGCATGGGCCATTCGACGAACTGGAGGTGGGCCAACTCTGGGAATACGCTTGTACAGCGTGGAGCATTTCACTGCTCATGCGGCTTGTGGCAACTGCCGTTGCGACGATCTAATCAGTCGGCGACATTGACCGCGCTTTAAGAGTTTAGGGGCCGTCCATAAATTACGACCCGCCTTTTGGCCATTTTAAAGCCCTCCCTGGTTTTGCGCTGGTTACGGTGGACAGCCCACTCCCCTTGGTTACTCTGTGCTAAACGTAAGACCGCAAAAACTGTTCGGCCCTTACTCACACATCGATGCGAAATCAATTACAGGCGTGTTCCATGTGATGAGAATACCCAACGGTGTCTGGTTTTCAGTTGTCAATTTATTTTTACATGATTTCGGCGTGATTTGAAGCCACATCAAGTGTGACGTTACGATGTGCTTGAGCTGCCATCTCTCTCCCCTGTTACAGCTCATTTACGCTTCGTAAGAACTTACCTCCCTCCACACGTGACGTCATGTATGTACAGCCTCTTGCGGCAAAATCCGTGAACCCCTTAATGTAATCGTAGCGCGCTGGACCGGCATTCATATATCCGAGTTCGACTCCCAGTGAGAACCAAAATTTTCTCCCGATCTGGGCACTGACATCATGAAGGTGGCAGCGGCCAGACAGCTCTGACTCATCGTGGCGCAGCGGAGAGAAAACATCACACGCACTTTTCTGCCGGTGGTGGCGCTGCAGGCTCACGTTAAAACACACGCCTCGTGAACGACCCCCGCGTGGGCGGCGTAGCTCCGGACCAACCCCGGCCCGGGGCGTGCACGAGTGTGGCGAGATCGGCCTGGCGGGGATTTGATAATCTTGGCCAGCAAAACGAACCGGCGGCCCTTTGCGGATGTCATCAGTGGGAAACGCGTGGTAATGACCTCCAATGGCTACCTCTCTTCGCACGCCCGCACTGTGCGTGGACCTCGCGCCTCTTGCCCGCCTACGTTATTGTGACAGTTCCGATCCCCATGCGGTCTGCGTGCCCCACAGTTAACCGAGCTGATCACACATACAGATTGGTAGGAACGCCATTTGAATGCTGCAAGATGCCCGCTTACTAATTTGTTCTGTAGCTGCGAGTATGGAGTGTGGGCACGTGGCGTTTCATTTTAGTGTTGTGCCATGGCGCTGCGTTCTGTCTGTTTCCGCAGGTGCTACTACAGCGTGGGACACAACGGCTTCCAGTGTCCGGCCACGGCGACGGTGATGGGGTCGTACCTGCTGCGACGGCGGATGCACTCTCACCCCGTGCTGCCGCTTGATCTACAGGTCAGCTTCAGCCCCCCCCCCCCCCCGTCTTGGACTGTTTAAAGTGACCGTTTTGGACGAAGCCACGAAGCCTTAACAGATCGGGTCGACGCGTGCGCGATCCGAGTAAGTGGATTTGCAATTGTTTCGCTGGGTGCAGTGGCCGGCTTTCGTGAGGTTATGTTTCTTTTAAACTCCGGCCATTCCTGTCCCACTCCCGCCCCCACCCCACAGCAATTAAGAGAATGTGCAGATGGGTCAAACTAACGCCGAAATTGTTATTTTTACTTTCAATCCATTCACATTGCCTTAAGACCCCCTAGACCCTGGACCACTTCCTGTAGTCACGACCGCCGCATCTGGCCTAGGAGAGCAGGAATTCGGTGTGACGAAGTCCCCTCATCCTACATGCTCAGTTTTCGACACAGCTTTTTTTCTTTTGTTGTATCACATGCATTGTATCGCAAGCAATCTTTGTCGTTGTTTTTTTCCCAACCGACCCCTCCGCGCAGGAGAAGTGATGTCTGAGAACGCGACGGGTTGGCTTCGGCCCACGCTGGACACGCGCCTCCGTCACCTCCGCCAGGTACGCCGCAACGCGGTCGCGATGCGGCAGATCCTGCGGGCCAACCCCGACGCGCCGAACCACAACATATTCCAAGCGATAGCGCGGGGTGCCGCGGGCGAGGCGCACCCGTGGTCGGCGGCCCGCCAGATGCTGGCGCGCGTGCGCAGGGAGCGGGTCGCGCCCCCGCCCGAGACGCCCGCGCGGGCTGTGGACGCTCTCCAGGCGACCGATGCCAGCACGCGGCGGCACGTCGCCTTCTACGCCCATGTCGGCGGCGAGGAGGTGCGTTTTGATGTTTTGTGTTGTTTTTCGTGGGACTTTTTATGCCTCACGGTGAGAAGGATTGGGAGTTAGCTGTTCGGCCCGCGGCTTGTTGGGCGGAAGGCACTTATGTTGACAGATCGTCAAAGGTAAACATTGTACGTTTCGTGGGAAAATGTGGACAGATCGTCAAAGGTAAACATTGTCCGTTTCATGGGAAAATGGGGACAGATTGTCAAAGATAAACAATGTCCGTTTCGTGGGAAAATGTGAACAGATCGTCAATGGTAAACATTGTCCGTTTCGTGGGAAAATGTGGGCAGATCGTCAAAGATAAACATTATCCGTTTCGTGGGAAAATGTGGACAAATCGTCAAAGGTAAGCATCGCGTCCGTTTCGTGGGAAAGTCCGTGGTTTAAACAAAGTGAAGGCAAAATGGGCATGTTTAACTCTACACGACAAAGTCAGGATATCAAGCCCTTTAACATGCGTTTGAAAGGAATGGAGCTTTGGAATGCCATCTGGTAACGGTGTGCGTTCGAAGGTGCGCTGACTACCCTGGTCATACGGCGTCCATCCGTCTTCTTGAAATGTCAAGTCGACAGCTGTTTCAGATGTTAATTTGAAATTTTGTTCACCCGTTCACAACATCTTGCTCTGTTGCCTGTGTTTTGGTTTCGTAAGACTGCTTGCAGGTTTATGATTGTTAAATGCCCTTAACCGAGCAAGGTTATCTTTAAAAAGCCACACCTCAGAAACCTTAGCGATATTGGTTTTAAGCTGTGCGTGTGTGCTTACGGCACGTTTCTTCCCCACAGCCTCCTCAAGCCGAAATGATATTGGTTAGTTTGAAATAATGTGAATACTACTTTGCAATGATGGCATTTACAGCTGACGTCATTCTGACGTCATTTGCGTGTGCTTTGTCAGTGCCATGACCGCAATTCGAGGCTGTCATCGCGTGCGCAAACAATGTAAAGAAAGACAGCAGAGTCCCGCACCGTAACGCCTGGGTGCTGATACTTAGTGGCGTAAGTTTTCCGGTTGGTTGGGTCAAGAGGAATGTAATTATATTTTCGGACACTTGTCACGAAAATGGAATTGCTCTTACTGTAAACGACGCACATGCGCGAAACACGATGTTCCAGAGCTAAGTATGGGAAGTTTTATATTAGGCCGTAGATTACCTACAGATTAAGGTTCGTGCTATTTGCGGTCTGCGATGTGCATTTTCTGCTGAGTTCCCGGTCGATTTACCCCGAAAGGTGCCACAGGAACGCGTGCAGCGCCCAGCTGAGATGCACGTCCTTGAGCTGCATCCAACGCTCATCCTCAGCGTTACACGAATGCTGCTAATCTCATCTACCACTGAACGCTGGCGGAGGTGGACCGGCGAACTAGTGAACCAATGAACCACTGAACCAATGAATTACTGAACCACGAAACCAATGAAACATTGGACCACTGAACCAATGAACCATAGGGCCACTGAACCAGTGAACCGTTGAGCGCCACGTCTGCCGCAGGCGGCCATCGGCCTGGAGGCGCAGGCGGTGGTCAAGATGGCGCAGTGGCAGGCGGCGCGCGGCACGGCCGTCGAGATACAGGTCGACACGTCGCTGGGCGCCGTGCCGCGGCCGTTCGTCCAGCTGCTGCTGGTGTTCCTGGCCGTTCCCGAGCGGGCTCTCCCCGCCTACTGGGTGCTCATGTCGCACCGGTCGCGGCACCTGTACGGCGCCGTGCTGGGCGCCATCGGCCGCCGGCTGCGCCTGGCGCCGGCCACCTTTCTCGCCGGCTGGGAGGACGGGCTGCAGGCGGCGGCGCAGACCATCTGGCCCCAGGCGCGCGTCAGCGGCGGCTGGTTTCACTACGCCAAGGCTGTGCTGGATCAGGTGTGTAGGCACGGCGTTGTCCTGCTGGTGGAGGATCGATGTGGGAGTGAAGCAAACGCGCGATGCGAAGGCGCTGTTTTATTTAGTTGTGTGGTTTCTTGTGATTGGCACTGGGACTGTATCGTTGCAATGTGTCGTTATCGTTATCGTATCGCTGGCACTGTATCGTTAAAAACGGGAATGGCACATGCTGGGTTTAAGGGGAAATTTTGTGGTGGGACCCTGCGCATTTTTCGTCGCAGTACGAAGGTTTATTGTCGAGTGCCGCATTGCAGAAGCACTGATCGTCACACATTGTGACATCACAATGTGAAAACGTCATTCAGTGTTGCTGACTATTTCCATGAGATGGTTGTGTTCAGTTTGTTCGGGAATTTCGCTGCATTCTTGTCGTGCTCTGTGTGTGTTATCTAAGTATCGAATGCACTCTAGGAGGCGACGAAGATACCCAACCATCCCAGACGTGAAGCCCACTCGATGTGCGGTGTAATTTTCTATTATCAGGGACAAGCGATTTCGGACTGCAACTGCGGGGTTACCCAGCCGCCTAAAGCCCAAAATTGCGTCACCATTGGCGTTCTCGGGGCGCCGACCGCATGCACATTGTAGCTCGTTTTCTCGACCGTATTGCCATCCGGCCGCAGGACAAACGCAGCACGATGGCGCTTAGTGGCATTGCTCTCCATTCTCACAGATCCGACGGGTGGGTCTCGTGGCCGAGTACAAGCAGCCAGCTACCGACTTCGGGAAGTGGGCGAGGGAGCTGCTGACGGTGCCGCTCGTGCCTGCCGACCGCCTGGAGGACGTGTGGGCCCTGCTGCTGGACCGGGAGGCGCCAGAGGTCGGTGGATGCCCACCCCGTGCGAGCTCACGAGAATGATGTGTTGAATAGCGGTGTATGCTAGACTTGTTCGACAGTTGTCTGTTGACGTAGAGTATATTTGAGTATGCGGAGAATGTTTGAAGCATTGATCTTCTCGGTGCGGAGAAATGAATTCGCCAGTCATGAAAATATTTGAGGATAAAAAGTGAGGTATTCGTGGCTTATGGAAAAACAGGTTTTACACGTTTATTTGCATAATTTACGTTGATACATTTATCCTCATAAGTGTAGTGGTTGCCGCAGGCGCGCTAAGCACTACACTACCGGCACCCATCCTCATCTTTTTTAGTGACGACGTAGCATGGAACACAATTATCATTGGTGGAGAGCCTCCACGGAGTATAGCTTGACCCCCTGCTCGCGACCCCAGTCACCGGTGACGGGAGCGCCGCCGCCCCCGCCCGGCCCCTGGGGCCCGCTGCATGAGCGGCGCCGGTGGCGGCAGTCCTCCGGGCACCCGTCCTGTCCGGCCCCCCGGGCCCGCTGAGAGAGCGGCGCCGGTGGTGGCAGCCCTCCGGGCACCCGTCCTGTCCGGCCGTCCGGCCGTCCGGTACAAATGGCGTCTACGAGCAAAACGTCTAATTTTGCGGCATCGGAAAGGGTAAAAAAGCTCCCAGCGACCACCAATCAACGACGGCCAAATTTGTGCGGTCAAGCAGTCGCGCGCGCATCTGTGCGCGTTTTTCCCACGTCAGCTGTAGCCGAGCACGTTTGTCGTCAGACGGCGCCGGAGCTGAGGCCCCAGGTGGACCTGCTGAGGCGCTACATGCAGGAATGGCGGCAGCTGGAGGCTGAGCGGCTCTGTGTCCACGGCCAGCCCCGCCGCGTTAGCGACTACGCCAAGGACGTTGTGGCGGCATTGGCGAGCAAATTTTCGTCGGCGCATCCCAACTTCTGGCTCTTCGTGGAGAAAACCAACCTTGTAAGTGCCAGCGTCGTGTGTGTGTGCGCGTGCGCGTGCGCGTGCGCGTGCGCGTTTGCGTGTGTGTGTGTGTGTGTGTGTGTGTGTGTGTGTGTGTGTGTGTGTGTGTGTGTGTGTGTGTGTGCGTGTGCGTGTGCGTGTGCGTGTGTGCGTGTGCGTGTGCGTGTGCGTGTGCGTGTGCGTGTGCGTGCGCGTGCGCGTGCGTGTGCGTGTGTGTGTGTGTGTGTGTGCTTATATCGCGCGCACGAGTACCGACTGCAGACAGCGAGACGCCGGCTGCTGCGTTCAACAACGCTTTTACCGCTCCGTTGTCCTCAGGCCATCAACGACGCAAACAGACATGGCGAGGCTGCACAGCTGCGGCAGCTGACGGAGGTCAGGAGTCTGCGCGACAACCGACAGCAACTCCAGGCCAAGCTGGCCTCGCTGATCAAGGGTCTGGAAGAAGGACTTCCACTGGAAAAGTACATCGGGGCCGTGATACACCTCTTCCGGCGCCGGATCGCCGCCCTCGAGACGGAGGAGCCAGACGGGTGAACAAAAAAGGAAATCGCTACGAGCTCGTGACCGGCGGAGCACACGTCCGCCAGCGAGGGAGAGAGCACGGGCGACCGAGCCGGCCGCCGTGCGTCGGTGGCGGCAGCGGCGCAGGCTCCGCTGGCTGTCCGACCAGGGTCACGGCTGACCGGCCGGCGGAGCGCGTCCGCCCTGTACGCGCTCATTGTCAGAGGCCGGCGCCGGTGACCGGTGCCTGCCGCGGCTGCGGTCCGGTGAGGGCGCCGTGCGGGACGCTTCAGATGACAGGGTCTGCTCGCTGGACCGAGTGGTCAGGTGCTGAGCTAGAGACGCGCTCTTTCCACCCGGCGGGTGTCGCCAGCGTTCTAAACGGTGTGACAGATCACGTAAGTTGTTAAGTACGTTTGCGAAGGACATTATTCACGTATGTAAGACGGTAGTGTAATAGCCTTATTCCTCGGAGAAACACCAGGAGAATGGAGATATAGATGGGCTGATATTTCGGCAACATGCCTTTATCGAAACAGTAGCAATAGCAACTTCTGTTATTGTTTCGATATAGGCGCGTTGCTGAAGTATCGACCCACTTTTTCCATTCTCCCGGTTCTTTTCTGAGCAATAAAGCTATTACTACTGTTTTATCTGTGTGTGAAAGATAGGGTCATTCTCGATGTGCTAACTGTTACGGAAGCTTTAATAGCGTTTAAAGAAGCGATGTGTCAAGGGCACTTGGGCAGGTGGGACCTCCTGTCGTGTGAAGGGGACTCGTGCCTGCAATACAGGCAGCAACAGCGCAGCTTCGTCTTGCAAAGATTCGAGACACCACGGTGGCCCGAGTCCGTGTCAATGCCGGTATCAGGCGCGAAGTGAAGCGTGTCTTATACATCCCCTCAAGACTACGTGTACCCGTCCTTAAAAGGACCGAGTAGCTACAGCTTTCTGGTAGACAACGAAAAAGCGCGCCATTTTGCTTGACCGATTCGTTTCACGCGTTCAAGAGTGTACCAGCATAAGCTGTTGTGAGACCGTATTTCAGACCAGATTTTATGCGGTGTAGTTGTGGAAGGTTCATTGGACTTCGTGACTCGTGCGCAGTATGTTGACCTTCCGAGCTCTTGGGCCCGATCATCGATATGTCCGCTCTTCACATGTGCACTGTCCGTGTGAAACCATGCAAAGATGAACAATTGCCCTTTGCGAACGCACACTGAAGGCGCCGTTTGCGCACCCAGTTTCATTTGCACCGCGGCACAGACGTGAGCTCATAATCCGAGCAATAAGGCGGTATGTTCTGGCCACTGACAAGGTCAAACAACGGAGGTCGGCGTGCACCCTCCCCCCCCCCCCCCCCCTTCAGCCTACTGTGAAAGTGATTCGCCGACTGTGTCGAGGGGAATGGAAAATACCGACACCGCACAGTTGACGCCGATCACGTGCGGCGCGGGCACGGCACGGGTGGTGTCGTTTGCTACCGGCTTCACCGGCCCTCTCCGCACTAAAAAGCAGGTACGCTGTACATCGAAACATATGCACAGAAACATGCATGCTGCATCTGTGGTATTGCACGGATACATTAAAACATACGTGCTGTATCTATGACACACGAGGCATACACCTCGTACTTAGGACACACATATGGACACAGCACGCTCCCGCCTTTCTGAGTCACAAACACCCATCCACGACAGGTCCCAGTCTGGACCTGTACCTAACCGCGGTTAGTGGTGCGAAACGAACGAAAATCAACTACCTCGGATCAAACGTCAAAAACTTCTTTGCACGGATCGTAACTGGCGTGAGGCGTCGGCAAAGGCGGGTCCAGCGTTGCTGTCCTTGGTTTGGGCCCAGGGGTGGCAGCTGGTGCGAGAGAGGAACCTCCTTAAAACCATAAAGTCCTTCGCGACTAGCTCTGCCCGCTGTCGATTCACACCGCCTGTGTCCCTCGATCCGCGGTGTTCGCCAGGCCACCCGCTCCGGAGCTCCGGAGAGAAAACAGTAACAAGACATCTCAGGTCGCATATATATATATATATATATATATATATATATATATATATATATATATATATATATACATGAATATATATATATATATATATATATACATATATCTATGTATGTGTATTCATATATACATAAACTACATATATATGAATATGGATTCTTTCCGTGCATTTATGATCAATTTGTTCGCGAAAATGTTAATTTGCCGGTTTAAACAATATAAGGTTTACGGCATGTTTTGGGGACACAAACAGCGCACGAATGCCGCATTATATTAACGTCTTTGAGACGAGGATTTTTAAAAAGACAATGCCAATTAACACATACGTGTGACGTTGGCGTTTATATATACATGACAACATTAACGCGCGGTATTTACCTTGTTGCATAACAGTTAAACCCTTAACTCACGAGAAAACACGCAATTCAACTTGACTGATATTCGATATTTGAGTTAAGAACTTGAATTGGCCATCATCACGTAATCGGATATCGATTTTTTTTGCAAGCGACCACGTTTCAGCCTTTGGCCAGGCCTTAACTGAACAGGCCTCAGCAGGTCTCTCCGTGTGAAAGGTATGTCAGGAAAATCACGGCACCAGCAAGTCCCTTCAGATATGATCGATGAAACCGCATCACACTGTGTCTTTTAGCTTCCTCACATGGACTTAAGCTACACGAAGCACTTAAGCATGTGATATGGGTAGCTCACTGTGCTGACGAGCATCGCCACGTCAGTTTGGCATGCCATTCTCTAACATTTCATGTGCATTGCTGCTGCTGAGAGGCGTCGACACGTGTCCGTTTGCCTCTCGGTACGCATTGACCTATGTGCATGCGCAGCTATCGTCGGGTCGACGAATTCCCCTCCATCTGCGACGTCAGTGGCTGACTCCTCGTCGAGGGCGGCGTCTTCCTCGTCATCTTCGAGGTCAGGGGACAGCTTCTGCATCGCCTGGCCGGTTTGCGAGCACAGAAACTCGACTCCCGGGAGCTCGTCTGGAACGTTTCGTGAATGTCTGTGAGCCCCTCTTGTTTTCCCTACAGGCGTTTTGAAAGGACAGTACTGCTCTGCTGATGACTGGTTGACTCGGCTCGGCTCGGCTTGGCTCGGCTCGGCACGCTAAACTGTACCCATAATGCAGACTGGAGATGCCGCCTTAGCTTATCCATGTGTGTTCTCGCTGTAAAGTGTTACAACGAAGCTTTGACATCTCAATCTGGATGCAATGTGAAACATAACTCTCATTCAACCCTCGCCTTGAAGGGGGGGGGGGGGGGGTTGGCGATGCCACAACCCCCTAGGGTTTTTGAGGACACCTCTGCGGCATGATGCTCAATTGCGTCCAAGTTTCCAGTAGCCTGCGAAGCATCCATAACCCATGTTTTGACACAAAGAACGTGTTGCCTCTCCAATCTCGGAGCAGCGGCGGTTTTTGAGGAACACTGCGCAGCGATCTATGGCCGGCGAGGGCGGGCGGCGACAGACAATGCTGCAGAACGCGCGCGGCGGGCCGACATTGCTATGTTAACGGAGCCATATTTCATAGATATATGCCCAAAATACACAAAAATATGAACCATCGTACTCAGAATTGAACAAGGGGGACACGGCTGCTCAGGTTTTGTGTCGCCACATGACATGGTCTTGTCGGTATGATGTATAGCTGAAAAAGTGCGATTTTCTGGAAAATGTAGCGTTTCGCCCCACGTAATAGGGTCAACTATTAACCGAACAAAATAAAATCAGTGCTAATCGCGACATCTTGTTGAGATAGATCCACTGGTCTTATTTACTAGGCACTATCGTTAGTAGTTGGGAAACGTCGGGGCGGAGAACATCGATCCCTCATCACTCCACATTACGAAAACGGCTAACGGAAACGCCGGGGCGGGGAGCTTCGATCCCTCATCACTCCACATTACGAAAACGGCTAACGGAAACGTCGGGGCGGGGAGCTTCGATCCCTCATCATTCCACATTACGAAAACGGCTAACGGATACGTCGGGGCGGAGAGCATCGATCCCCATCAATCCACATTACGAAAACGGCTAACGGAAGCGTCGGGTCGGGGAGCTTCGATCCCTCATCACTCCACATTACGAAAACGGCTAACGGAAACGTCGGGGCGGGGAGCATCGATCCCTCATCACTCCACATTACGAAAACGGCTAACAGAAACGTCGGGGCGCATCGGGGAGCATCGATCCCTCATTACTCCACATTACGAAAACGGCTAACGGAAACGTCGGGGCGGGGAGCATCGATCCCTCATCACTCCACATTACGAAAACGGCTAACGGAAACGTCGGGGCGGGGAGCATCGATCCCTCATCACTCCACATTACGAAAACGGCTAACGAAAACGTCGGGGTGCATCGGGGAGCATCGATCCCTCATCACTCCACATTACGAAAACGGCTTATTAGGGCGAGGTTTCAAGCACGTGATCTTCACATTCGTGCTGCTGGAGGTAACTTGTGCTCACGGATCGGTCAGACCTCTTGATTCCAAAACACGCAAACACACTATGCTTCACTATATGTGTTTCCTCATTTTGCGTTGCTCTAGTCAGTTGCCTGCGCAGATGTAGCCGATGCATTACATCAAACTCGAAACGACCTCCCGCCCGATGAAACCAAAGTGACCTTGTCTGATGCGAAATCAAAATTGAGCAACACAAGTTTCCTTTGGTATGCTCTACGCAAAGCTGCACTAGGTTGATGGGCACCACTATTCATATGCCTCACAGTCTCTCCCAGACAGTAAGCGCTCAGGCGAGCCACGATTAGACTCATGTCCACGACACCGGACATGAGTCTGTGTTCGATATTGACCGGGCAGTGCGTCATCTGATCGTCATCTGATGGCAGTGCGTCATCTGATCGTCATCTGATGGCAGTGCGTCATCTGATCGTCATCTGATGGCAGTGCGTCATCTGGCCTGGTCACACGTCCTCACCAGTACGCACTCGAGCACGTGACTGGCCACGCACGTGTGCATGGAGACGGTGCGTCTCACGCGCACTTACAGCGCGCTCCGCCAGCGGGCGAACGTCGGGAAGCTCGCCGCGCCCACCACCGACCAGCACGGCAAGCCCAGCGCGGTCGCTGTCCTGGTCGAGCATGACTAAGCCCCTGCTTGCTGCGCGCGATTCAAACCCGGCCCCCCGGCGCCGTTTCAGCGGACCAGGACGTCCAGAAAGTGGGCCTCGTACGGTGCGTCACTTGTCTGGAGGGCTGGAGGGAGTGGCTTGGGTGAGATCTGTAGCTGCGAAGTCCGATGTGCACGAACGCTTTGAATTCTTTTCATTGTACACGGTCAACGAGTCATCAAAGATCGGCAGAACATTGACGGGTTTCGCGTTTTCTTTGTCGATGACGTTCGTTAAATGCCACGTAAATCTAGTGCAGTCTTAAGCAGTGAACTTCAGGAAGCCTTAAAACCTACAGAAATGCGATTGGTAATCTTTTATAAGGTTTATAATTTATCATAAGCCTTATATATATATATATATATATATATAATATGCAAGTAATAATGTGATTCATATAATGTCACGGCGCATTAGCGTTACGTGCAAATGAGTCGGAGCCCAGATACTGTTGGAGGCCTGCTACAGCCCTTAATGGTCCAGTTTCACGGCCATGCTCATTTTGACTAACGGGCAACTTTCCCAAAACGTGGATCAAGGTTTTGCGATTTTGGATGGCAGCTAACACATCAAAGGCTCTGCATATTCATGACAATA